CTGATTTGCTGCTCAAAAAACATTTATTATTATTATTATTATTATTATTACATTGAAAACAGCTGAGTAGAATTTTTTTCAGGTTTCTTTGATGAATAGAAAGTAAAGAAGAACAGCATTTATCTGAAAAAGAATTTTTTTGTAACATTATAAATGGCTTTATCGTCACTTTTGATCAATTTAAAGCATCCTTGCTAAATAAAAGTATTAATTTCTATCATTTTCACAAAAAAAAATAAATAAATAAATAATTATACTGACTCCAAGCTTTTGAATGGTATATGTATAATGTTACGAACGCTTTTTATTTCAGATAAATGCTGATCTTTGGATCTTTCTATTGGATCTTTCTTACGGTTCAAAACATTTTGACTGGTAGTATATGTATGTAGCCTCATATCACACTCATATCACATCTTGTTTTGGATAAGAATAAAACGTCAGGTCCGACGTCAATATCGTGTCTTTTTTTCATTTAAATCTAGCTTTATTCGCATTGGCCCATGTATGGAAACCTCTATGAACACACTTGACTTGGCCAAAAAATCGTGGGGGACGAATTTACATTTTATTAAAAAGTGTTTGTATTCTACACTCATGGCGCGCGCACACATTAGGATAGGTTAGATGCCTGCCTCCACTGCGAGTCCCTATCAAGCACTTTACCGATTCAACAACTCTCTTATTCTCCTCCTGACTGGCTCTTTGGCCCGCATCACTCACCGCAGAGCAAGCATGTTCTTGATAAATCTACTGTGAAAATGTGGGAAAAGCCAACGAGGAAGAAGTTGGGGTGAAGCGATCTTTATATAGGCGGAGCAAAATGCTTCATCGCTCCGTCTATAGCGCATTGTGATTGGCTGTTTACACTGTCAATACAAGAGACAAACCAATGGGCCACTGGCTGCTCGCTGTCCTTGCGTGATGGTCCTCGGCAAAAAAAAAAAAAAAAAACCTTCTGTCGGCCCCTTACGTGCGTAGGCCCACCGGGAAAATGCCCGGTATGCCCGATTACCAATCCAGCCCTGATCATAGCCCTAATGGTTCGTTTGTCTCTAGATTTAGGATAAAAATGGCATCATCACCTCCACGGCAAGACCGGAAACTGCCTGATACCATCATATCAGAGAACAGAAATACATCAATCGCTTCGCATCAGGTAACTAATCGTCTGACAACACTCAAAAATAGCAGAGGTCTATAAAATTGATAGGAGTTTGAGTATAAGAATCTCATTCCCTCATGGTTTTGAGACAAGATGCTTAACAAAAATGTAAACAAAAAGCAAATGGAATACCTAAGAAGTTATATGTCCTTGTCCATTTTGTTGACCCGGTTAAATTTGTTGAATTTCTTTGGAATGCTGGAAACAAGTGACAAGAGTTTTAATTCAATTCAAATGCCATCGCAGAAATTAAAATGAAGCCCAATACTGTGTCTCTAAATATTATAGTTTTTTTTTTATAGGTTAGTCAACTACCATTCCCATTTCAAAACACTGCACAGTTTGAATCTTGCATCCGTACACCTATTGGGCAGACGTGGAACACACAAGGTGTTGTGAAGAAGATGACAAAACCCAAAGTTATCACTAAATTGGGTGCGATCATTGCGCCTATGGTCAAAGAGGACTTCATAAATAAGACCACAACATCAGCTGGTAAAGGACCAGCAATCATGTTGGGAGAAAACAAAAGGGCAAATAAGGGCAGAGAATGGTCATCAGCAAAGCATCAAGGAAGAAGAGGATCACAGAAGAGGAAAAAGCAACAGACTTGAAAGATTGTGTGACTTCAGTAACTGCATAAATAGATTTGATTTGTTTGGTAAAGTGTTTCAAGAAGACATCTTATTGTGATTCTTATCATGGCCACATACATTTAATTGTATTTATCAGAAAACCTTTTATTAGTAATAACTTTTTTTTTCTGTTCAGCCACTTTCAAATACATCAATTTTAAAAGTGCTATTTTCTTGCAAACCCTAAGTTGTTGTTTGATTGTCTTACTGCTTGAATGTCTTTTAAATGTTCCAACATGATTAGTGTAAATACTTGACCCTTACTTGAACCCTGAATTAAAAATTAAATATCCTTTTATACATTAAATATATATTAAATATCCTAGTATTATGGTGGGATATTGATACTTAATGTCTGCTTGGATAAGCTATCAAAATCTTTTACCTTAAAATATACTGGTTATCACCAAGGGTGGTACAAATAGACAGTAAGTTAGTTCACCTAAACGTGGCAAATACGCATTTATACAGTGCCTATAGAAAACCATCATACCTCTTTGAAAGAGTTAGTTCATCATACAGCCTGAGGAAAACAATTTTTTCCAGCTTTTACAAATTTTGTCTTGTAACATCAAAGTAATGAAAGAAAAAGTAACGGTTCTAAAAAATGAAAAAACTAGAATAACATGGATGGAAAAGTCATCAGTCCCCTGATTTGATACTTTATAGAGCCACCTATTCCTTTAATTACAGCCATTAATCATTTCTGATATGTCCGTACTAGACTGTACACCTAGACGTTTGCCCAACGCAATGGCTTAAGGATAGGAAGGTGAACATCCTTGAGTGGCCAAGTCAAAGCCCTGATTTAAATCCCATAGAAGATTTGTGGATGAAGAGAGCATTGCCGCTCACCACGGAATTTGACTGAACTTGTGAAAATTCCACAATCTAGTTGTGCAAAGTTAGTACAGTAATATCCAAAACAATGAAGGACTGTAATTAAAGGAATAGGTGGCTCTACAAAGTGTCAAATCAGGGGACTGATGACTTTTCCAACCACGCTATTCTAGTTTTCCAGTTTTTTTTTTATACATTTTCAGAACTTACTTTTTCTTTGGCTGTAATACAAATAAAGTTTCAAAGTATCTTTCAAAGGGATATGATGATTTTCTATAGGCACTGTAGATGGTGCACATGGTGATACATATAAAGACAAAAACCATACATAACATGAATGACAACAAAATGCTTTTCATTACTCCCATAGTGAATTAATGCAGCAACACATTTAGTGTTAAAAGAAATAAAAGTAGGTTGGTTTGTTTAAAAATCATGTAAATGTATGAGGTGGGCCTCGGAGTACAATCATTTAGCAAATTTAGCTGAATTAATACAGTATGTTTGTGTGATATCTGTGCCAGCACTGGACAGGTTTTTAATGGTTTTCGGCTGAGCAGGGAGGCCCTGACAGTGCTGCTGGATCTTCTGAGAAGTGAACGGCAACACAGATGGGGTGCTACAATACAGACCCTGGTGTTTCTCTTCTGTGTGGCCAGTGGTACATCATACAGAGTGGTCTCCAGAGTGTTTGACATGCCTTGTTCCACTGTCCACCGCATTGTCCTCCGAGTCGCTGAGGAGGTGCTGGCCATTCACCAAGAGATTCACCTCCTGAAGACCCCAGAACACATGGACACATTTTTTTTTTTTTCTGATGTTAAACCTAAGCTATGTTGTAAAAAGTACTTTAAGTAATGTATAGAACAAGTTGTTTAAATGTGTAAAAAAAATTATTTACAGGACAAAAAAAATAAACGTATAGAAAAATGTTTTGTGAAAAAATTATAAGCTGCATTTAAAAAAATAAAAATGTACATAATTACTTATCTTTTATTTACACGTGAATATGCAAAACAAAAATACAAAATGTACAGAAAGTACTTGGGCTCATTTACAAATAAATGACACTACACAAATGAATAATGTATACAACTTATTAATTTCATTTTGAACTTACATCACAAAAATAAACTACAAATTAGGTTGTTTCATTGACGTGACATTTAAAAAAAGATATAAAAATTGTAATGTACCCATTTTTTCCATTGTTTTCTCTTGGCTAATAGAGAATGGCTAATAAATGTATTTAAGCATTCTCTCAAGAAGAGAAAACAGTCCCTCCATTCTCTCCCTGCTCTCCTGTGCGCTTCTCTCCTCTGTCTCTCTCTCTCTCTGGAGACTGATGTCCTCTCTGAGTAGCTCCACCAGCTTCCACTCACTCCCTCACCTGACACTTGCAATCCTAAGGCAGAGGAGAGAAGAGCACAGGAGAGCAGGGAGAGAATGGAGGGACTGTTTTCTCTTCTTCAGAGAATGCTTAACAAATACATGATTTATTAGCCATTCTCTATTAGGCAAGAGAAAACTGTGGAATTAACTTGCTTACTTTGTATTTTTTTAAGTCTTTCCCCAGCAGGCACATTTTCTCCAGAATAGTCATAAAACAAGAGAAAATGGATAAACTTATGAAAAATATAAAGACAGGTTTGCAATCTTAACATTACAAAATATGACACAGCAGGACATGCATACAAAATACTGAAGTGCTAAAGTTTGGTTAAAACATTTGTAGACGTGACAGCACTACAAACACAACAAAAAGAAAGACTTGCCATATTAAGTGGTTGTCTTATTGTTTGTGGGTTTTTTTTATTTTTTAACCCTGGCTTTTAACACTTGTTTCGCTAGGTATTTGAGTAAATGAAACAGCTTGCGTGTTCACACTGTCTGGCGTTTCACTGTCTGAAAACTTTCACCAAAAGACGAGCTCTTTAAATGTGCTTCTTTTTTTTTTTTAGCTGTTTATGCCTTTATTTTGGGTAAGGTTCACTACTAACTGTAAAATTAAGAGATTAATGTTTAGACTTTTACATATTATAACCTGGAACTTGGATGTGGGGAAAAAATACAGTTAGATCCAAAAGATAGTTTTAGCAACACAGCACAGATGCTACAGAACACAGTTAGCTGACTCGCTGTATAAGATTGTGTGCTACGCTAATATATTACTTCACAGGCATTACTGGCTTGTACTTTTTAATCCGCAATATTATAAATGGACAGTTTATTGCTGGTCTGTGGTTTTACACTGGTGTAATTTTTAAAGATTTCATATTATTGCAAGGTGAGCTTCAACGGTACACTACTATGAAAATCACACAGCTTCAGTGTGACATCAATAAGAAAAAGTATAATTACATATATTTTTAAGGATAGTTGTTCATATTAAAATATGTATGAACTTAATACATGACCTAGATTATTTATTTAGCAAAATCTTGTCATTTTAATATTACATTAAATTTATTAAAAATTGTTGCTGCTCCAATTAAGCTCAGTGTGCTCTCTTTAAGCTCTTCAACACTGAACGTCAATGTAAATACTTCATAAACAGACTTTACATATAAACTGATGGTTGTCACTTTAAATTATTCTTTATAAAATGATTAATAACGTATTTTAACAGCTTTAAAATAACAAAATCTAGATGTAACTATAGTTTATGCCCAAAGATGAAAGAGGCATGTCGTCTGTACAAAGAAGGAGCCATCAGAAACCTGTCGTTTCTGTCCAGAAAAAAAGCAACCAAAAGCTGGAATACACTACACGACTTTTAAAATGTGAACAGATTTTTAAAACACCAGGCATCATACACTTATAGACTTTGTAAATAGGAAAACTTGACATCATACACTACACAACTGAGGATCACACACTACCAGACTTTAAATTCATTCCGATCACAACAAACTCACACAGAAACGTGTGCATTGTTGCTAGGAGACAAGTGAAAAATGAAAACAATATGTGTTCTAAAATCGGCAGAAAATATCAAACATGTTTGATCTCCTCCAACTGGATGGAAACAAAGTCTAAAGCTAAAAAATCAGAGTCTGTGACCATCATACACTACGTGATTTTCTATGGAATCAGTCGACTCAAATCTGCAGACTGTCTTTGACCTTTGGCAACAAGCATCAACTTCTCCAGACTGTAAATCTGTGGAAAATCGGGGCAAAAGTCATGTAGTGTATTCCAGGCTTAAGAGACTATAGATAAGTTGACATCCATTTAATAAGAGGCTTCATATTGAGGCTAGTTTCTGTGCTAGTTTCATCCCCATAAATGACATTTTTTAATGGTTTGTTTTGTTATTTGATTTTTGAATATGTGCTTAGCTAAACGTGGACTAGTATAGATGTTGCAATGTGCTTAAATGACTCTTCACTATGAATATATAACTGATCAAGTTAACTTGATTTTAATGTTCTGTTTTTTTGTGATTGACTTTGTACATTCAAATAAAAAAAAAATTCAATTGTTCTTTAAAACGTTTGTTTAAAATAAACAATAATTTTTAATAAAACATGATGTGAGCTTAATGGGAACAGGGGTGTGCTTAAAGGGTACAAAAAATTTACCCATTAAGCACAGCCAGACTTTTTGCATTTAATGATGTGCATCTTAATTGAAATGCTTTTGTCATTTAAAATCAAATTAAATATTATTGTGTGTGAGATTAATATTTTATTTGAACATAACTTCTTGTACTGAAACTGATGTCTTGTGCACAAAAAAATGTCTCAATGTAGACTTTGGTGAGCTTAATAGGTACGTTTACCCTAATGTTTTATAAATGATGTTACACAAAGCAAAAAAAAAAAAAGTCTGTTTACCAAAGACCCAATCTTATATGCCACCACCCAAACATTACAACAATAGGACAGAGAATAAATTGAGCAAGGAAAATTTACATTTTCCATGCTCATTTCCTTCCTAACAGAGGATGTCTTTATTTCTTTGGCCAGATCAATGACAGATTCCAGAAACTGAAGACTTTTTTTCTTTTTGAAAACCATTCCACCTGACACCATGCGAATACTTTATGCAGGGGAGGGGCAGGGTGCTGCGATGGCATGAAATAGCAATTTTATATGCAGTTGTGACTCAGCAAAAGTGCCTTTCAAAAGTCAATTGTCCACGGCATGATCTGGGAAAGTGTGTATAAATTAGTTGTGTTGCACTGTACAATTGCAAATGAGCTGTTGAAAAAGCCTGTTTCAGGAATCATGCATGCTGTGTTTTTTTGGGGTTGTCATACTACAAGTTTTGACATCTGTTCTGTCCTATCCAAGCGGGGCACCAACAGCTTGTGTGGATATGATGCCCAGGCATGGAGGAGTACAGCCCAAGCCAAACCCTGCTCCATACACCATCCATCCAAGCAGTACAACTTTTCAGACTGGCAAACCCATCACAGGTAGGGGATATGATGGGGTCACTACTGTTTTAGAAGACACATTTTGTAAATTAATTAATGAATTTTTCCAAGATCTGCATGTCTGGATCCAAAGTTTACAGAGTTCTTGCTATACTGTTATGCAATTCATAATTGCATTCCAAGGAAGTGTTATAATATGGAAAATCCACTCAATCAAGAATTTAAAATGTGTTGTCCATAAATCTATTTGGAAACAAAACTTAGAGATTACTTTTGTTTTGTTTTGCTCTGTTTTTCCTTGTTTTTCATTGCATTTTAGTCTCCACGAAGTTTGTGATACATTCAGGCCAAATTCTGGGAATATTTTAACTGTATTTATAAGAATTATTAAGCAATTTAATTTAATGCATGTATATCACCTAAAATGAAGACAGTGGTGATAGCATCATGGTTTTAATGTTTGTTAATTTGTTGTTTGTCAGTTGTAATCAAAGGTCCAGACTATAGTAGCGTGCTCCTTGAGGCTCGCTCTGGATTCGACTCAAAAGCAACAGGAACCTGGCAGACACCTCCAACTAACACAAAGTTCTTAGCGGTAAGGCTTTGGAGTGTGTAGAGTTAAAGATTACACTTATCATACTGCAATGGTTATATATGATATAGTATGTATTATGATCAGATATGATTCAAATGACACAGAACCCCTTTTATAATTTAGAAATTGCCAAACTGCACCCATTACAAAAATTAAAGTTCTTTTCATAGTTACCACAGTTAACACTAAGTGGACTAATTATGCAAACTCCAATCAGGGACTACATATCTAGTCATTATATAAGATAAAAAACTTTTTTTTTTGTTTCGGGGGTATAACCAAACATTCAGAAATATGTTATTTGGTATACCAACAAGTGTTTTAAATTTGGTAATTGTTGTGACTGAAGGTTGTACACTTGTCTTCCCTAGTGTTCAGGAAACCAGCAAGGTGCAATCACCCATGCCAACACCAACATAAAAAACAACTCCACCGTCTATACCTGGATTCCACCAGCTACAGCCAAAAATGTCGTCTTTTTTTGTTTATTTATTTATCCTTTATTTTTCCAGGAAGGTCCCATTGAGATTAAAGAAATATCATCTTCCAGGGAGTCCTGGCCAAGATGACCGTACAAAAATTTCACATACAATTTCACAAACATACACCTCACAAGACAAAATTATATAGAACCAAAGCAAAAACAATAATCATAAATCAGTAAATCAATTAAAACAACAACATGGTTCATTTGCTAAACACTGCACTAAATTTTATTAAAATATCCAAAGAAAGAATAGTTTCTAATGGAGTTACTGTTTGAAATTCATTCCACAACCACGGAGCATAGTAAGAGAAAGCTGATTTTCCATGCTCTGAATGTACCCCGGGTATTTCTAATTGAATCCCATTTGAAGATCTGGTGATATAATTCTTTCTACGTAGGCATAAAAGACTAGATATGTAATTTGGAAGCATGCCCAACAATGCCTTTACAGTATACATTAACATTTCTTCTTTGATATAAAGAGGACCAACCTACTTTATTATACAGCAAACAATGATGAGTACATGAGCAAGCATTTGTTATAAATCGCAATGCAGCATGGTAAACACTATCCAGCCTTTTCAATAAATACGTAGAAGCATGCATGTAAATAACATCTCCATAATCCAAAATGGGTAAAAATGTACTCTGTATAATTTGCTTTCTAGCTCCAAAGGAAAAACATTTTTTTTGCCGAAATAGAAAACCCAATCTTGGTTTAAGTCTTTTCACCAAGTAATCAATATGTACATCAAAAGCTAACTTCTCGTCAAGCCATACTCCTAAATACTTATAAGCTGTTACTCTTTCTATGTGCAGGCCATCAATAGTAAGATAAATAACATCTCCATAATCTAGAATGGGTAAAAATTTATTTTTTTAAATAAAAATTTTAAACATTTTCCTTTGCATTGAAGCAATAACGAAAACTAAAGAAATGCCTGAAGACTCGCACCGTGTCTACACCAGATGTGACAAAATACTATAGAACCCATTATAATCGGTGATGCGGCCTACACTGGATGTGGCGCAGCATAGCACGACAAATCCCCTTAAATAATCCATAAAAATTATCAAAACACTTTAATATTTGTCCAAATATTTCTTAGGGCCACTGTAGCCCAGCAGCACACTGTGTTCTGGGTAGACGGGATGTCTTCAGCTTTGACTTCCAGTGAGTAAATATTGTTTTATACATTTTATGTAAAAATAAAAGGCTGTCACAAAGTATTGACATACGTACAAGCAAGGAATAATCCATGCACCATTTATTAAACAGTTTGACACTTGTCTCCTAATTATCAGGTGAAGGAGGAACATCACTTGATGTACACAGTAGTGCTGAAAGGATTGTCACACCTCCCCTGTTACTTCTTGTTGTCCTGCTGGCAAGTGTTCAATACCTAGTTGCTTAAGAATGATCCGATACTGATTAAAGTATACTAGCTCAGTTACTCCGTATAAAATATTTAACCAATATCAAACATTTAGACACACATTTTTATTTGCCTGACTAAATAAAATAAAAATAAATAATGTAATGCACAAAAATGTTTTATTGTGTTTTGGGTTTTAATTAATGACCGGATGAATGTACATTATTTCTTGCATATAAATCAAGATCTTGTCACTCTGGTGAAAAATCAGAAATATTATCCTGCTGAGTACACACCAATTTACCAAACATATAAATGGACATGAACTAGTTATTTGAATTAAAACAACTTTATTTTAAGAGACTGCAGAAAGCACAAATCAACTAGTATTTTTATGTATGAAATCAGTTAAAAATGCTATTTTGTTGTGTTTTTCTGACCAATGGAAGATGAAAGGAGTGTTTGGGATACAGGTACTATTTTTGCAATACTACTACTACTACTACTAATAATAATAATAATAAATGAACTGATAGTTCAAATATGCCATTTCCTAAAGTTAGAGATTTAGGTGTCATGTTTGACAGTAATTTGTCATTTAAAGGTCAGTTACGGAACATCTTTATTCAAGACGCAGAAAAGTTCATTCATAACTTCAATGCTGCATTACTGTAAAACTTGTATAGAGATGACCCACTATAAGCTGCAGCTTGTTTAAAACGCATAGTTCCAATCATAAAATTCCCCTTAAAACTGCTTTGGAATAATGTGAATTGTAAAAAGCATTATACCACTTAAACTGAATTGAACTGATATTTTTTTTTTCAAAGTATGTGAAACCTTTCAAACAGTAATATGCTACATTGCTTATACAACAACAGTATGTTGCATGTTTAATTCAGAAAGTTGTCTCAAAAGTATTAGTACTAACCTTTAATCAGAGTTAAAGGCTTTCTTCCCTTTTGACAAAAGACAAAGAACAGTCAAATAATAAACACAATTATAAATAAAACCTAACCAATGTGCACACTCTTGAATGTCCAGAGGTGGCAGCTCAGAATATGAAACGCAATGATATGTTTGAAAGGGACCAGTAATAAAACGTAACACACTATGGAAAACGGATTCCAATTCTTGTTTATTAATAATAATAATAATAATAATAATAATAATAATAATAATGAAGTGAAAAATATATTGCACTCTTATATTATATAACCAAGATTTGTGTCTGAAATAAAATTAAATTCCATTTTAGCTTAGGTTTGGAAATAAAATTAACAAAAATACCATTAAAATATAAATATTTCTCAGCTTCTGGTATTGTAAATCAAATTAAGATCGAACAACAACAACAAAAGACTGCAGCTGTATTACTTCCGGTTCATTCATTGCACATGCAATAGTGTAAGTCAGGGAAGAGAAGAAACATTAAGAAAAGAAAAGAAAAGAAAAGAAAAGAAAAGAAAAGAAAAGAAAAGAAGAAAAACATTATAAACATACACATACTGTATTATCATATACATGTATTATCTTTTATATAACTACTAGTACAACCCTAGTCAGGCTTAACAAGTAAAGCAAGAGTCCATTCACATAATACACAACTTGTTCTTTAAATAATTAATTTTATATAGTGTCACATAATCTTCTTGAGCTCGTCGTACAGAACCAGGACGAAGGCACCACCCATGCCTCTGAGCACATTGGACCAGGCACCCTTGAAGAAGGCCTTGCCACCCTCATCATGTGCAATCTTCCTCCAGCAGTCAATAGTGCCGCTGTACATGATGTCAGCTAGAATGAATTAAACACTTAAAGGAATAGTTCACCCAAAAAGGAAAATTTGAAAAACATTTACTCACCATTGAGCCATCCAAGATGTAGATGAGTTTGTTTCTTCACCAGAACAGATTTGGAGAAATGTAGCATCACATCACTTGCTCACCAATGGATCCTCTGCAGTGAATGGGTGCTGTCAGAATGAAAGTCCAAACAGCTGATAAAAACATCACAGTAATCCACAAGTAATCCACACCACTCCAGTCAAACAATTGACGCCTTGTGAAGCGAAAAGCTGCATGTTTGTAAGAAACAAATCCATCACTTTAAAGGGTTAGTTCACCCAAAAATGAAAATTAGCCTGTGTTTTACTCACCCTCGAAGTATCCTAGGTGTATATGACTTTCTTCTTTCAGACTAATCATATCGGAGTTTTATTAAAAATTGTCCTGGCTATTCCAAGCTCTATCATTGTAGTCAGCGGGTGTTTCTGTTCAACTGTCCACAAGTCGTCAAATAAAGTGCGCGAATCCATAATAAAATGTGCCTTCACTGCAGAGGATCAATTGGTGAGCAAATTATGTAATAGGCTACTAAATTTCTCCAAATATGTTCTGATAAAGTAACTCATTTTCAGCATATTTTCATTTGCTTTAACATCATATTAAGACTGAACTGAACCAAACACCAAAAGGGCCTATGAATTTTGGGTGGAACTTGAGAGGAAACAATTGTTGGATATTACCTCTTTTACGTCCAGACTGCATCATCATACAACGACGTACTGTGTCAAAGGGATATGATGTGAAACCAGCAATGGCGGTGACTGTGTGAGCAATCATCCAGCTGACAAAAATATGGGTGTTATTTGGGTCGGGTAGCATGTCTGTAAAACACAGATATTTTACACTAAAATAACAAATACCAAAATGAATGCAACTGCCCATTAAGGGTTAACAATTTATTATTAGTTGCTCAAATAAAATAATATATTTTCAAGGTGTTATTGTTGCACAGTATTTTTGTTTTTAGTGTGGATAGACAAATTATTAAGATTAAGTAAAATAATCTTCATATTTCCACAAGAAGATCAACAGCGCTTCTCATCTTGCCTTCCTTCCTGACTCTACAGCACAATTTCACCATCCAGCTAGGTTCATCAACAATTACCCCATCAAATTCGGTCAGCAATCTCTGAAGAATCTTGGATGCTCAGCTGACCTTCAAGGACCACATTGCAAAGACAGCTCGATCATGGTCAGGTCGTCATTAACGGAGCATGCTGCACAACTTCTTGTCCAGGCCCTTTTCTAGGTGGAACTAATGCAAAGGTCTTCTAGGTGAACTCCCTTTATGTACAATCAAACCTCTACAAATAATTAAAGGGATAGTTCACCCAGAAATGAAAATTCTGTCATTAATTACTCACCCTCATATCGTTCCAAACCCATAAGACCTTCGTTCATCTTCTGAACACAAATTAAGATATTTTTGATGAAATCCGAGAGCTCTCTGACCCTCCATAAACAGCTTCAGAAACGTAGTAAGTACATCGTTAAAATAGTCCATTTGACTATCGGTGGTTCAACCACAATTTTCTGAAGCCATGAAAATACTTTTTGTGTGCAAAGAAAACAAAAATAATGACTTTATTCAATGTTTTCTTCTCTCCCGGGACAGTCTGCCATTATCGAGAGTACCACGACGTAGGGGTCAGAGACAGGGGCTATTCTAAGATTTTAATTTTAGGGGGGCTCAGCCCCCAGTGAGGGTATAATAATAAAAAATTATGATAAATATATAAATAAAATAAAAAATGTTTGACTAATAGGGTAAGGTGGTATACTAAACTTATTGCAGTATTCCACTGTATTGACCATGTATCCTTCTCGTCACTCTCTGAGGCAGAAGTCTCCAAACTCATCCTTTCTAATCATCCTACTACTTGCTTGATCCTATTCCATCTCAGCTCATTCAAGCCATTTCTCCTGCAGTTGTACCTGCACTCACTCACATCATTAACACATCCCTTCACACTGGTGTTTTTCCCTCAGCATTTTGACCGGCTCGTTTAACCCCACTACTTAAGAAACCCACCCTTAACCCATCTATTTTAGAGAACTACAGACCGGTTTCCCTTCTTCCTTTCATTGCAAAAACACTTGAATGAGATGTGTTCAACCAAGTCTCTGCCTTTCTCACACAGAACAACCTCCTCGACAGCAACGAGTCTGGTTTCAGAAGTGGACATTCAACCGAGCCTTGCTCTCAGTTGTTGAAGCCCTAAGACTGGCAAGAGCGGATTCCAAATCTTCAATACATATCTTGCTGGATCTGTCCACTGCTTTTGACACAGTTAACCACCAGATCCTCCTGTCAACCCTATTGGCAAAGGGCATCTCAGGAACCGCACTCCAGTGGTTTGAGTCTTACCTCTCAGATAGGTCCTTCAAGGTATCTTGGAGAGGTGAGGTGTCCAAGTCGCAACATCTAACTACTAGGGTGCCTCAAGGCTCTGTTCTTGGACCACTTCTCTTCTCTGTCTACATGGCATCACTAGGTTCTGTCATTCAGAAACATGGCTTTT